ATTGACGTAAACAGTTGATTACGTCTTAAATTAACGTAAAGTATCGGTACATTGCATCCATTGCAGCTGTGCATTCGGTTTTAAAGGGACAGCAGCCTAATTTAGTTGCTATTGTCTGAGTCATTGATGTTAATCAAGAAACAACAGAAAGACAGAAAATCACGCACTGCTCTTGATTGAAAAACTTTAGTAGCCTGAAAGATTAATCTAAATTTATAGAAATAAATATGTCTGCTTGAAAGAATGAAGAATATGGTAAACAAACAAGTTGCTATAAAGTATGCATAATTAGCCTGTATAACTATTGGTATTTCATTAAAAAGAAGACCATGTTCTTGTTCTTTGTGAGAAGTGGTTTTATTTTATTTTAACATAAAGGCATGTTGTGTGTCACAGCAGTTAAATCAGTGTCTATCATGTTAAAACCTTAATATCAAACCTATATAATGAGTTTGGAAATTTTTGAGAAATGCTTAATAAACGCATTACACTGTAACTAAACCCATTAGATTTTAGCCGACTAAATTTACTCTATATTTAGTCGACTAAAACTAGACTAAATCTAAAAAAAATTCAGATGACTAAAATATGACTAAAACTAAATGGCATTTTAGTCAAAAGATTGACTAAAACTAAATTAAAATTTGCTGTCAAAATGAACACTGCTTCCTATTAAAATGTTGTGAAATGTGTGACCTCCTGTTGCCGATTTATTGTGTAGTGTGCACACATCAATAACTAAACGTTACCCCAGACAAGCACATTGTTACGGGGCTGACGAGACGTGAGACATGCGGATCTAAGTGCGAAGCTTTATTAACAGACATGGTTAGAGACGTGCAAGGGTCAGACAGTGGCAACAGGTATATAAGGGCAAGACACAAGAATATTCCTAGGGCTAGAGTGGGTCTATGATCGGTGAACAGAATCAACAGGGCGAGACTAGAGGGATGAATCCAGGTACAAGGCAAAGGTCCAGGCAGGGGCATACAGTATCCAAATAGGGCAAGACGAGAGGGGGAATCCGAGAAACACAGGCAAAGATCAGGACACGAGAAAACAGACAAGGCACGACTAAGATAAGGCTATGAAAAATTAGACAGGCTCCATAGAGTAGCTATCGCTATGAGAGTGATAAACGCTATACAATACTCGGCAGTTTGAAAGGGATCAGAGAGTGTTATATAGTGAATGTGTGATTGGTTACAGCTGTGTGCAATCAGTGCAATGGATGAATGGATATGTAGTCCGGGATGACATGCAACAGTTTGTGTAGTGCGAGAGTCAATGTAATGGAAGGGTGACCTCTGGTGACAAGCAGACGGAAGTTCATGGACCGGATTCGTGACACACATAGTGTGAGAAGAACAGTCATCTGATGACTTTGAAAATTGTGCAGTGTGCATTAGGTTCCCCTATGCTAGCAAGATTTTTACATAAAAAAACATCATAGTTTAGAAGTAGTAGACTATTTTCTATCTGGTTTTTGTCCCTCTCTTTAAAACACGTTGTTTTGATAGGCGTGCCACATTCAAGACTTGGAAGTAAATGCCCACTGCTATGATTGGGTAACAGTTTTGCATATTAAAATTATAGATGGATGACTGACAATCTGCTGTGATGTACTCTGAAAACAATATGGGTAATTTAGGTTAAAAACATAAATTCACAGTACAACTCAAATTATATGTAACAAAGCAATAGTGACACATGGATCAGTTTCTAAACAAGACAGTTCAAAAGCTCAAAATTGGCTTTGTTTTTTAGAGAGAGATTGAAAATAAAAGATGATGCAGTGCCGACTATGTTGAATAACAAGGAAGGCAATGCAAAAACTGTTTTTCCACAACTTGGCATTGTGCAATGTCTAGTAATCCTCTGAGGCATCTCTATTATTATGATGCTCAAGTAATCCTGTGTTTGCGTCTTTCTAGCATTTACTCATCTACTACCACATGCGCAAACCTGTAAGCCATATACTGCATAACTACATTTTTGTGGCATGGCTCAATTTGAAAGAGACAAGGAGTAATAATCAGAAAACATTACCATACCCAACTAGCTATATGTTAGCCAATAATAAGACCTGTGAGAGACAAGCAAGTATACTGCAGCAGTACAGTATACAGCACATATTACAAAGTGTATATTTTGACAAGCTGTTTTTTGCAGGCTTGGTGAGTGTACGGTTACAGAAGAAAGCTGTTCAGCTCTTGCTTCAGTTCTCAGTTCAGACTCCAGCAGTCTGAAGGATCTTGACCTGAGTAATAACAATCTGCAGGATTCAGGAGTGAAGCTGCTCTCTCATGGACTGAAAGATAATTGTAAACTGGAGAAACTCAGGTGAGATGATGTACAACATATTAAAAGTCTCTGGGTCTTTTGTTTGAAAATTATTTTTCAATTTGTTCAATTAACAAGCTTTTTAGGAGATAATATTGTTTAGAATGGATTAATTCGTGTATTGTAACATTTTCATTTCTCTTCCAGACTTTCAGACTGCAGTATCACTGAAGAAGGTTATAAAGCTCTGGCTTCAGCTCTGAGATCAAACCCTTCACACCTGATAGAGCTGGATCTCAGAGGAAATGATCCTGGACCATCAGGAGTGAAGCAGCTCAATGATTTACTACTGGATCCAAACTGTAAACTCGAGACACTGAGGTGAGACCTGATGAAATAATACAAAATAAATTACATGTAGACTACTTATTTTATTATAGACAACATAATTTCACTAATGTAATCTGTTGTATTAAAGTAAATTAAAGATAAACCATTTCATGCTTTTTTTCTATTATAATTAGATGATGCACTACATTTTGTGAACTGAATTCAAACTAAGCTTCTCTTCTGCAGGTTTTTGGGTGCTGATGCTGAGAAAGCCTTCCAGTATGTGACTCAAGTTTTGGGTGAAAACCTGTTACTCCTGAGAGAGCTGAATCTGAGTGAACGTAAACTAGACCCAAAACAGCTGGTTCCTCTATTGGTGGATAAACACTGTAAACTTAACATACTGATGTAAGTATTGCCATCATGACAACACATTTTAGTGTTTTTCGAAGAGTGAAGTGATATTTGAATTACTATGTATTTGTAATCATCCATGACATCAGTTGTCACATACAGCAGTATGTGTGATACAAGTAATAATAACGACATGTGAGAGACAAGCTTTGAGACCATTAAAAATTCAGGAGTGAAGCTGTAATGGACTGAAAGATAACACGCCTTAATGTAGGGAAAACTGAAATTTAGTTTGTCTTTATGCAGTCTGAATAACAGCTCTATCACAGAAGAAGATTGTTGTGCTCTGGTAGCAGCTTTAAATTCAAACCCTTCAAATCTGAAAGAGCTGGTTTTGAGTGGGACTAAACTCAGAAACTCAGAAATGAAGAACTTGTCTACTCTGTTTGAGAATGTACAGTGTAGACTGGAAAAGTTGAAGTAAGTAAATCTTAATATATAAAACAAATGCACAGTGCTGCAAAACAACTAATTTATGGAAATCTTGTTGATTTGTTTTTTTACTTTGTTCTCTCTTCTATAGGTTGAATTTTATCAGTATTACAAAAGAATATTGTACTGCTCTGGCTTCAGCTTTTAATTCAAACCCCTCAAACCTGAATGAGCTGGACCTGAGTGGGAATCAACTTGGAGACTCTGGAGTAATGGAAATTTCCACTCTACTTGGAAATTCACAGTGCACACTGCAGATACTCAGGTTTGAATTTGGTTAATCTAAATTAACATCCACCAGTCTCCAAAAGTAAGGTTAATAGAAAGGTAAATGTGACACTTTCATTATTGGTTTTTACATTATCTGTGTCTGTAACATCACTTACAGTTGTAAAAATTGTTTAATACATAATTTGTATAGAAAAATATTGACATTGTTTAAATGGAATTGTGTTATTATTCAATGATTAGTTAATGCATTTGTTGTTCTCTTCCAGACTTTCAGAGTGCAGTATCACTGAAGAAGGTTATAAAGCTCTGTCTTCAGCTCTGAGATCAAACCCTTCACACCTGATCGAGCTGGATCTCACAGGAAATGATCCTGGACCATCAGGAGTGAAGCAGCTCAGTGATTTACTACAGGATCCAAACTGTAAAGTAAAACTGAGGTCAGATATGATGAAAAAATGCATATTCTTTTTAGAAATATTTTCACGAATGCATGCAAAAAGTAAATCAAAGATAACTCATTTTAAATATAGTTAGATTCTATGTTTCGTTACACCAAATTTATTAGTGTATTGAATTTAACTTGCTTCATTTTCTCTTCTGCAGGTTTTTGAGTCCTGCTGCAGATGAAGCCTGTCAGTATGTGAATAGAGTTGTGGGTGAAAACCTGTTACTCGTGAGAGAGCTGAATCTGAGTGAACGTGAACTAGGAGACAAAAATGTGAAGAAGCTTGCTATTCTACTCCAGGATAAACACTGTAAACTCAACACACTGATGTGAGTATCTTATATCGTTTTATATTTTGCATACTGTCTGTAAATGTTTGAAGTCTAATCAAACAATGACATTGCTGTTCTTTGAAGTATGTGAGCGCTAAAATTAGTTAAACAATCATATAGATTTAACCTTTTGTTATTATAGTTGCGTATTGTGGTTAAAATAAACAATAATTTTTCCTGTCTTTGTATTCTTCATCTGCAGGCTGAATAATAACAGTATTACAGCAGAAGGTTGTGCTGCTCTGACTTTAGCGTTTAATTCAAATCCTTCAAACCTGACAGAGCTGGATCTGAGTGGAAATAAACTAGAAAACTCAGGAATTGAGAAGATCTGTCCTCAGTTGGAAAATCCACAGTGCAGATTGGAAAAACTTAAGTATGTATTTCCCCACTGTTTCACTATTTGACTACTTAAAGGGATACTCCACCCCAAAATGAAAATGTTGTCATTAATCACTGACCCCCATGTCGTTCCAAACCCGTAAATGCTTTGTTCGCCTTCAGAACACAAGTTAAGATCTTTTGGATGAAAACCGGGAGGCTTGTGACTGTCCCATTGACTGCCAAGTAACTTACACTGTCAAGCTCCAGAAAAGTATGAAAGACATCGTAAGAAAATCCGCTGAATGCAAGCAGCGTACGCTATACTGTGTCAGCCGCGACACAAGGATACGTTTTCTACATGTATTTATGCTGTGATTTGAACGAAAACAGCGCATCCGTGCGGTGCGGCTGACACAGAATAGCGTATGCTGCTTGCGTTCAGCTCATATTCTCCAAAATGGTGCTACGGTGATGCGGAGAGACACAGAGGAGACGAATTGTTGAATAAAGTCGTTATGTTTGTTTTCTTCGCGTACAAAAAGTATTCTCGTCGCTTCATAACGTTACGGTTGAACCGCTGATGGCACATGGACTATTCTGACGATGTCTTTCATACTTTTCTGGACCGTGAAAGTGTAAGTTACTTGGCAGTCAACGGGACAGTCACAGGCCTCCCGGTTTTAATCCAAAATATCTTAAATTGTGTTCCGAAGACGAACTAAGCTTTTACGGGTTTGGAACGACACGGGGGTCAGTGATTAATGACAAAATGTTCATTTAGGGGCGGAGTATCCCTTTAAATCTATATTTTTAAATATTTGACTAAATACTGTAACTGCCTGTAAAATATGTACATGTAGTTTAGTTCATGTAGTTCCAAGTAGTAGTTTGTGTCTCAACAAAGAACAATGTTTTTGTTTTATAGACTTTCAGACTGCAGTATCACTGAAGAAGGTTATAAAGCTCTGGCTTCAGCTCTGAGATCAAACCCTTCACACCTGATAGAGCTGGATCTCAGAGGAAATGATCCTGGACCATCAGGAGTGAAGCAGCTCAATGATTTACTACTGGATGGAAGCTATAAATTAAAGAACATCAGGTGATTAAAGACTTCAAATATTTTTTTTAATTGTACATGCAACAGAAAATAACCTCTAGCCATTATGCTGCAACACTGCCTTTAAGGAAGATGAGAGCTGCAAAAAGAATCACATTTTAGCAAGATTTTTTAATTTACAATTAGCATCTACTTCCTGTAGGTTTTTGAAAAGTCTTGCTGCAGAGAGAGCGTGTGAGTATCTCACTAAAGTTCTGGGTGAAAGTCCATTATTAAAGAAAGAACTGGATCTGAGTGGAGATAAATTAGGAGACCTGGATGGAGAGAAACTTTCTGCTCTCTTCATGGACTCTCATAGCAAAGTGGAGAAAATTATGTGAGTGAACATGATTTTGTACATTATAACTACTGATTATTTAAAAGATTGTCAGTCACATGCGTGAGAACATAAAGAGACCTGTTGTCCTGAATATGTGCTAAATAATAAATAATGCCATTTCTGTGTTCAGGCTGAATAATTGTGAGCTGACAGAGAAAAGCTGTTCAGTTCTAGCTACTGTTCTCTGCTCCAAAACCACCCTGACAGAGATGAACCTGAACAACAGCCCTCTGCAGGATTCAGGAGTCAAAGAGATCTGTAAAGGACTGAAGAATCCTGTGTGTGAGCTGAAGATACTCAAGTGAGTTCATTTCACCATCATCTACAGTACACTGAACACTACAATGATCACAGGAATATTTGCACATTTGGTGATGTGCAAAATTAAGCA